TAAATAAAGAATAAATTATGTTTTTTTTATAAACTTTTAAATAAATAATTTTTTATTTTAAATAACTATTTTTTAATACTTAATTTTGTATTAAACTTATCATATTAATTGTTAAATAAGTATATACATATTTATGTTATTAAATTAAATTAGTTTAATTTAACATCTAATATATATATAATATTCGAAATTGTGTTTGTCTACTATGTAGCATGTGCTAGTAACTATGACTAGAAAGTCAAACATTAATTGAATTTGAAATAGTGTGCATTTAAAGACAAAATTTATATCCTTTTATTCGGCCATTAATTATTCAGCTACTACACAGCAACTTCTTCTATGCCATCAATGAATGTTCTGATTAAATGTTTTTGCATCAACGTTAGTTTAGTGGATCATTTATATTGTGCTACACCAATTTTTATAAGTATAGGTAATTTTTTCTATTTTTTTTTAATGAAATTGATATAATTTATAATCATAAAATCGTAACAATAACAAACATAGAAAAATGACACGCGTTTATAATTAAATAAATACACATTAAACACATATTACATATATAATATTAAAATGTAATCGTAATATTTCATGTGTATAATTGAAGTGATATGTGTTTAATTTAAGTGAAATTTTGTTATAAAACGTAAAAAAAATATTAATTTCACAAATTATTCCGAGAGAATAAAATGTGATGCCATTTTCTTTGTTAAAATAATTAGTGTATGATTGTGAAACAATTAAGTATTATTAGATGTCAATATAAATACATTAAAAATGATTATTACTTTTACTTTTCTATTTTTTTTCGAAATAAATTTTTTTGAAGTAAGAACAAATATATAGTAGTACTATTAAATTAATGATTTTTACTTTATTGATTTTTTTTTCATTACTCCATGTTTAAATATATATATATATATATATATATATATATATATATATATATATATATATATATATTATGGTTGGATATTATGGTATGGAGAAGAAAAGGACATAAAAGTTAGGGTTAAATTTCATTTTCATTGCATTTCAAAGGTAGATGAGGCATTTAAGATTGAAGTCCACTTTACCTTTGTCGTTGGTAGATAGATAGATGCACCACCCAACACAACCTATTTCTTTATTACTTATTGTTTCCAATTTTTTAATGTGTCGAAGAAAAGTATAAGAAAAATATATTAATAGTTTTTCTTTATAGCTTGTTTTCATGTGCAATGACTTGGGGTTTAATTTACTTTTGTCTATATTTATTTCCAACAAGTAATTGTTTTAATTAACTAAAAAAATTAATTAAAATATATTAACATTGATTCATATGTTTTCTTCTTTGTTAAGAAAAAGGTGAACATCTAGATATAAAAAAATGTTTAATGTATGAAAGTTATGTCGCATAGGATTATCTTGACAAGCTCTTGAAGGCTTCAACTACTCCAACCAACAATTGTCAATTCTATGGATTGCAACGTTATCCATCTTCATATGCTCCAAAATTATTTAATTATAGTTGACCCTTTAATATTTAATATTTGTATATATCAAGACATGTGTAGTTTAATTCCATATAATTGTAAACACAACCCGTTTTGTTTTTATCCGTTATATCTTTAAGCAAACCATGGTTATGTTTTTATTCGTTACATTTTTAATCCGTTAAAAAATAAGTATGTTAATATGGATTATATACCTTATTCCGTACTTATTAAACGATGAATGGACGGAATTTTTTACATGTATTTAATATATATATATAATATATATATATATATATATATATTTAATTATAGGAATAAAATTTAAATTTTTATTTATTAATTAGTATTTTTATTAGATAAATTAAAAAAATTATTATATTTATGTATTAAAATAACTAATTATAATTAATAATTCAAATTTGATTAATTAATTTTATAATTTAAATTATAATATTATAATATATTTATATATTTTAATAACATAAAATAAAAAAATATAATATTTTTAATTATAATTTTTTATTTTAATATAATTTTTTTTTTAAGTGACTCAATCTGTCTCACTTTACCCTTAATTCGTCGAGTTAGTGAATCAAAACACTGATACCACGTATTTTTTTTAAGTGGATTAGTTGTGCAAATCTAACCCATTTTACTATTTATATATTGCCTATATTTTTATACTAGACAATTGTATTTCATTTTAAATATTTAAAGTTAACAGAAAAAAGTTATTATATATTTGGTAAATTAGAAATACCATACTTGTTATAGAATAAGTGAATAATATTTAGCTTTTTCTCTATAACATTATATTTATTTAAGTTTTTAGACGGTTAATTTGTACATTTTAAAGTGTATTTTTAAATTAAGGTTTTCCCGTATCCCATGGTCATATACGTCTTTAAAAAATAATAAATTTATCAAAATTAATCTTTTTTTTTCTGAAAATCTTGAAAATAGAGTAATAAAAATAAGTAATTATTTTTCTAAAATAAATACATGTATAATAAAAAAAAGTGAAAAATATTATTTTCCATTGAAGTTGTGAAATGCTCCAAAGTTGGTGTGTGTTACGAAAGAGTAAGGTTTGCTATTGTTTTGGGCACAATCTCACTTTAAAATGATGATTATGTGTTTAAAATATGTTTTAATTTATTTTTGTCTTGTCATGTAATTAAATTATTAATGTATAAAAACAGCATTTTAACAAAAATAATTTGTATCTTTACACAAATTAAATATAAAATTCAGTAAATACAAAATATAAACATTTTATCACAAAACTTTAATTAGAGATATTATTTAACATCCACCAAAAGTAAAGCATCACTATTAATAGAAATTTTTGGATAAATATTAAGTTTGAGCTATATTGCAGATAAATAATTATAATAATGTCAACCATAAAATAATTCTCATTACGTCAATTATATACATCGACTTACATTAATTAAAAAAAATCTTATTAGTGTTAATGTTAATAGATAAAAAATTTAATTAACATAGGTCAACAAAAAAATTGATTAAAGACAAAAAAAAAAACACTACGAATAAATTTTATTGGATGTCATACGAACAAAATTTTGTTTGAAAAGAACCTTTGAATACTATGGTAGCAAATAAATATTTAATTATGATTAAGAAATAATACTATTTTGTTCAAGAATGATAATGTTTCGGTTATGTAAGATATATTATTTATTTTAGATTTTTTTTCATACCATTAAAAGAGAAAGAAGATTTATATAAATTATCTTTAATTTTGATTCCAAAATAATATTGGATTCATAAATATATAAATATAATCATAATAAATACTAAATTATATAAAAAGAAGTTATTGATGAAATTTGAAAATCAAGTAAAATGGAAGGAAAAAAAACATATAAAAAAATGGAAAGATATGAAAATTTTATAATGTTTTTAATAAATTTTGAAATTATCTAATTTTGAGTAAATAAATTATTATCATAAATTTTTAAAATTTATATATTTTTAAAAAATCTACAAATAACATATTCTATTATAAAGTATATCAAATTCTTTATAAAAACAAATTAATCTCTATAAATTCTTATTTAGATGTAAGTGTGTAGTAAAGTAACTCTTATTGGGTGATTTTCGTTTAATTATGATAATATTTAGTTAGATTTTTTATATGAAGTGTTTAATTTTTATTTTCTAAAATTTGTTAACTAAATTCAAATAATATTATATGCTTTTAAAACAACTACAGGTAAAATACTAATTTCAGACTCTCATTGCATGTTTTATTTATTTGGACGACAAAAAAAAAAAAAGTAGGACCAAACCACCGTTTTCAGCTGAAACCGACCAACTAATAAAGATTCGGCTGGTCATCGAACACAAACCAACGTAAGACTTTATTTTTATGTGGTCCTTCGCTCCTCTACTCATAAAAACATATGGCACCCTACTTCAACCACATTTGATAAATTAACTTTTTTTTTTCAATTCCTTATTAGATTTGGTGTCTTTTTATTTATGAAAATAATATTTTTTTAAACTATATCTTGGTCCTGAAAAAGATAAAGTATATTCTGAGTCATACCCTTTTTTCATTTTCTATGTTATTTTGCTTCTTCGTTTGTCTACGTAGCGTGAACTATTTCTATTGGTTTCTCTAAGTTATGTTTTTTTGTACTTATGTTTTAATTTTTATTTATTTCTATAAATTTTTATATTTTTATTTAATAAAAACATTAAAAAATTAAAATTAATTATAGTTTTACATGATTAATGTCATATTAACATGTTTATAATATTTTTAATTAATAATAATAATTAATCATCATATTTTCTTTTATTAATAAATATTAAATTATTCATAACCATTTACACAAATTTTTAAAATGAAAAATTAGTTTACTTCCATATTTAAAATCAATATTTTTAAAGTTTGTATCAACTTTATCTTAACATAAATTTAGAACGAATGCTACGAATAATTATTACTCAGGACTTTTTTAATATTAATCATCATTATTAATATTTAATCACTTTTAATAACAACATTCAATATTATTTTTTAAAATAACATTTTAAATATTATTTTTGTATTATTCAATAGATAAATACAGTTATCCATATTTAAAAAGTATTTTTTTTAAAATTAGATTCAATTCCGACAAGCATTCGGCTCTTGAAAAGACTAAATTCTAACTTGTGATTGAATTCTGAATTTGCATGTCTATATTCATGTAAATGAAAAAAGTTTTATTAGAGGATTTTTTGTGTGGAATTGGTTTATTTAGGAAAAATTTGGTCATTTAATTACATAAGATAAGCTTTATGTAAATTCCATTTGTCTTTCGTTTCCTTGAGTCACAACCAATGCATGACAAAGGTAAAAATGTAATTAAAGTCAGAACTTTCAAGGACAAATCTGTAATTCAACTCTGCGCAATCAACATTTAAAACCCAACGTTCCCCCAACGCTTCCTCCTCGCGCTCTCTGCAACTGCAACATTCATTCACAGCTGTCACGCTTAACGGAAAATGGCAACCGCAAGACGAAAATTCCCGTCGATCACAGAATGCAACGGAACGGCGTCACCGCGCGAGTCCGTCGCTGCCGACCTTGACGGAACGCTCCTCATCTCGCGCAGCTCCTTTCCGTACTTCATGCTCGTCGCCGTGGAAGCCGGCAGCCTCCTCCGCGGCTTCATCCTCCTCCTCGCGGTTCCGATCATAATCTTCTCTTACCTCTTCATATCAGAATCCCTCGGCATCCAGATCCTCATCTTCATCTCCTTCACTGGCCTTAAGATCCGCGACATCGAACTCGTCTCACGCGCCGTCCTCCCTAGGTAACCAACTCACTCACTCACTCACTCACTCGTTCGCTTGCTTTCACTGCTTCCGTTTACGTGAAGTTCCATTGCGTTGTGTACTGAGCGCGTGTGCTTGCGTGCAGGTTTTACGCTGCGGACGTGAGGAAGGAGAGCTTCGAGATGTTCGACCGGTGCAAGAGGAAGGTCGTGGTGACGGCGAATCCGACTGTGATGGTAGAGCCTTTCGTTAAGGACTTTCTCGGCGGAGACAAGGTGCTAGGAACGGAGATCGAGGTGAATCCGAAAACGAAGAAGGCCACCGGATTCGTAAAGAACCCTGGCGTGCTCGTCGGAAAGTGGAAGCGTCTTGCGGTTTTGAAAGAGTTCGGCGAGGAGTCGCCGGATGTTGGACTCGGAGATCGTAAGACGGACCACGATTTCATGTCCATTTGCAAGGTTTGCTTTCTACTTATTATTATCACTATTTTTTAGTTTTTTTTTTTGCTGTAAAGTTTATGACTGTTTCTTATTCCGATTACTTGTTTGTTTGTGATAATATTCTTTTGCATGTAATCATAGTGTACAAATATCGATACAAATTAGTAGGAAAATTTAGGATAATTTGAATGAGGTTATAGAATTTTGAACTATAGTTGTGAAATATTAAAGTGGCATGCAAAGGTTTTCTAGTAATATACAATGCTTTTATATGTTTCCTTAAAAATTTATCGTGCTAAGTATATATAATAAATATATTTAATATGTTAGAGTATTGGAATTATTAAGTGTTTTGAAGATTATTAAAATAGTGTAAGAGAATAAAGCATAAAACGATTCATTTTAATAGCACCAATCCTACTTTTTTAGTTAAGAAGTATCGAACATAATTTTATATATTTAGTACATTAAATTAAATGTGTATAATTATTTCTTTATAAAATATTTAAAGATTAGGAGAATAATGATGTATGACACGTGATATTGTGCTTCGTTTAAAACTTTTTTGAAAATAAATTTATTTATGTAAAATTAGCGCAATAGCTCTACGGAGTAGCTGAAATTTCTATTATATATATATATATATATATATATATATATATATATATATATATATACTTTGATTGAATACGACTAATCCTTCCTTGGACAAGACATCAAATACAGCACAAAGATCTACGAAAAAAAAGGTGAAAAATAGTGTTAATTAGTCAAGTAGAAACTAAAAGTAGAAGAAAAAAAGAATGGGAAACATTTTCTTCCTTTTTTGAACTAGTAGTAATTAGAAGAAGGTGAAGAAAACAAGGAAATTGTATGAAAAAAAAAATTATGATAATAATAGTAAGTCGATGGAGATGGATTGATCCATCATTGAAGAATGATGTAAGTAGGGTCATTACTTAGAAAGCATTTGTTTGCTTTATTTATATCTCACGCGAATTATGCATTAATAGCATAGTTGCACAAGTTAATTACGTGATGTGATAATGTATTGTCTGTTACTATCATTTTACCTATTAGTTTGGTTTTGGTCCTATAAAAGGTTGATTAATTGAATCAGTGTAGACTTTTGACCTTTTCTTCCAATTTTGTTTAAACCCAATAAGTAATTTTGGACGTGAAAGTGAGTCAATTTGGGTTAAATACCCTGTTGAATTAAAAATAGATTTAGTAACTGAAAAAATTTGTAATTTAATTTGATCCACCACGAACTAATAAGTTCGGTGAATCGATGTAATTAAATATGTTTTTTATTTTTATTTTTTTTGAATAATTAAAATACGTGAAGTAAATAGATTGACTTGTTAAAACTTCTTTCCCTATAAAAATTAAAACAAAAAATACTTCTTGAGTCTATTATCATCTACTCAACTTGAAATGAGTTGCCTAAAGGATCTAATAATAATGACCTATTTTCATAAAGACTTCAAATTGATTAAGATTAGGTTACTAAGAAGATTAAGCAGAAACCGTCTCTTTCCAGACTGTAGTGCATAATCTATACGAGAGGTTGTTTGCTTTGACGGTGTGAAAATATCAGTCCTCTGATCTACATTTACTGGGTTAACCATGGAGCCGGTGAACCGTGTAGAGGTGGTTGATAGTCCTTGTCAATCATGTGCAGTTAATGACATATTCGGTTGAGTGTAAATGCATGCCATTTTGTTTTCCTTTATTTCCCACCCAGGAATTGTATAGTCCCCAGCCCATGGGACCCACCTTATTAAGTATTGACCATCCCAACCAACTACCAGCACGATGCTAATCGTGGTCCGTTCATTGAGTCTATTCACATTCACGCTGCAAGGCACGATGGTTTGTTTACTGCAGTCGTGCAGTCGTCATCTATTCATACTGTTTCCTTCTTAACTACTATGAAGCTGCTACCTAAATTTTTCTTCTCAATTAATGCACTCTTTCACCGCCCCACCACCAATTTCTCCTAAGATTATTGAGGTACTTCAATTATACACAACTTATTTATTTGAATTAACTTTTCATTCGTTAAATCTTAATTATTATGTATTACTAAATATTAAATTAATTTATATTAATAAATATTATAACGCATCATAATCAAATTTAAATTTTAAATATAAAATAAAATATTGTTTAAAAGTTCTATTAAAATAAATTTAGGTGTAAATTATTTTTATTTTAAAGAATTGGATGAATTGTTTAACAATAATATGACATAATATAATTTATAATTTACATTGAAGTTGTCCTTAGCATACATGAAAATAACCAAGAAGGATAACACTCTCACTGCTTACCATGGTGAAAGTTACCATTTCTCCCCTGATATTAGGCTTTGTCAATTAATCTTGGTTTGCCTATTAGTGATGCAAATCTTGACCCACATTGACACAATTCAAATCACGTGACTTAACTATCCCATTGTAACTCTTGGTTCATTATCTAATTATCCCTTAACACAATTTCTTCTTTATCTCACCCAGTGAATGGAGAAGTGTGAGAGTTAATATAAATTAATTAGAAAACTAGTGTGCTCGTCATATTATTTTATATAGTATTAGAATTGTTTATGTAATTATTCATGTATTGTTTCCTTATCTCAATCACTCTCTTTTTATGATATGATCCTATATATCTTACGTAAAAGAAATTACACGCAGATAAATAATCTAACAGTATAATAGCAAAAGGATATTGATTTTTATTTGAGAAAATAAAATATGTGAGCGGATTATAGGTGATTTACAGTGGTTAATTTCATGTAGAGTTTGTTGAATTCCTGTGCAATTAATGAGGATGAAATAGAAACCAAATTAACTAGCAGTACCAAATAATATTATCCCATTATTATCAAAATAGATGCAATTTTTCTTTTTTACTTTTATTTAAAAAAAAAAACAAATACACATGAAATTTCATTTATATTAACTGGTATCTTTGGAATGAATTTTGATTCTTTCTAATGTCAATACAATTTTATATTTATTATCATGATAAATGATGCAAAATCTCCTCCATGCTTCTGATCTAGCAAGTGATGAATAACAGGAGGGTTACATGGTGCCTCCAAGCAAATCAGCAAAACCAGTCCCACAGGAGCGTCTGAAGAGCAGGCTCATCTTCCATGATGGTCGTTTCGTGCAGAAGCCAGACCCATTTAATGCTCTCCACACTTTCCTGTGGCTCCCCTTTGGTTTCATCCTCTCCATCATAAGGGTTTACTTCAACCTACCCCTCCCAGAACGCATAGTGCGCTATACCTATGAAATGTTGGGCATCAAGCTTGTGATCCGCGGCCACCGCCCTCCGCCTCCGTCTCCGGGCACCCCAGGCAACCTTTACGTTTGCAACCACCGCACCGCCCTCGACCCCATTGTCATCGCCATCGCCCTAGGCCGCAAGGTCTCCTGCGTCACTTATAGCGTCAGCAAGCTCTCCCGCTTCCTCTCACCGATCCCCACCGTCGCCCTCACTCGTGACCGTGCCGCCGACGCTGCCCGCATCACCGAGATCCTCCAGAAGGGTGATCTTGTCGTGTGTCCGGAGGGCACCACGTGCCGCGAGCCCTTTTTGCTTCGCTTCAGCGCACTCTTTGCAGAACTCAGCGACAGAATCGTGCCAGTGGCTGTTGACTGCAAGCAGAACATGTTCTTTGGGACTACTGTTCGTGGGGTCAAATTCTGGGATCCATATTTCTTCTTCATGAACCCAAGGCCAGTCTACGAGGTTACCTTCCTTGACCCCTTACCCGAGGAGATGTCCTGCAAGGCAGGGGGGAAGACTTCGATTGAGGTGGCGAATCACGTGCAGAAGGTGCTGGGGGATGTCTTGGGGTTCGAGTGCACCGGGTTGACTAGAAAGGATAAGTATATGTTGTTGGGTGGGAACGATGGGAAGGTGGAGTCTCTTTATGGTTCAAAGAAATGATAGATGAATTTCGTCGTTTAGAAAGGGGCAGATTGATACAGAAAAGGTTAGCTAGCAAGCAAAATAGCAACTACTACTTTATTATTTTTTGGTGATCCTTTCATCTAGGTTTTGTATGGATTTCAGTGTTTTCAATCTTAATCAAAATTTCTATAACAGTGTTTTTAATAAAATAGAATGGATAGAAGACTTACAACGACGTATTCCATAGGAATAAGAGTAAAAGTAAATCATATAAATTATGTTGAAAAATATAAATAATAGATTTACATATAATATTATATATAAGTAATTTATAATTGATTTTGTTATAATAAATTAGTATATTTTAATTGAAAAAACATTTTTTATCTTTATAAATTGTTTGATGAAGTAATTAATGTAAAATTTTAAACATTTTACCATGTTATTAGGATTTATCCAATGATAATTGAATTAAAAAATGCAATTTTCTTCTTTAACAGTGCGTAAAGAGGAAAGAAAATATATTTGTTCTTTTTTTTTGACAATTTATTTTCAATTTCTTCCACAAATAATTAAATAAAATACTTAATATCTTAAATCTTTTCTTTCTAAATCTTTTTCTCCAATATAAGAATATGTTTACCTTTTTTTCTTTAAAAGGAAAAGTTCAATAAAAAAAACTTATTAAATATTGTTACATGTGTGATAAAGATTTCCTCGGGACAAGTTTTCTCAAGCCAAATGGAAATTGCCTTTGGAGTGTCAAGATAGAAAGAAGCTTCATTCCAAGACTTTACCCATTGACCAAATCTCCACAATAATGAGTACCTTGCAAAATGAGGCATAAAAAAGACCTACTAGATATGAATATTATTCTTGGAATAATAATTCAAGCAATTGTGATACAATTGCGATGAGGTCTTGTTTACAAATAGCTTAGAAAGTAAAGCATATATGAACCATGAATTAATTTTATAGATAAATTTAGGTTAAAACTAAAAAATCTTTACTACTTGAGAAAGTTTAGTGGAAATGTTTGCATTCAATAATTGTTGAGGGATTTTCGAATTTATATATATGAAAAAAATTAGAGGCGAAATGAATTAAAATAGAAGTAATGATTAAACTAGAAAACTCGAAGAGAATGCAGTTATGATGTTTTAAGATCTATGATTGATGAAAAAAATAGATACTTAAATACTAAACTCTAAAGAAAGAAAAATAAGATTTTAAGAATAATACATTAATTTTAAAAAGTATAAAAAATACTATAATTTTATTAATGATTTAACAGTGATTTACAACGAGACTATTCTTATCTATAATATATGAATTTTTAAAAGAATAAAACTTGAATTTGACATCTAATTTTTTTTTAAGATTAAAGTTGATCTTATATTCATGAAAATGAAAATTAGGTCCTATAAAAGAATAGTGTATTTTACTAATTTTATATTTAACACATGTTAATATATAATAAATTTGTTAGTTGTAATTTTCATATATTCCTAATTTAATTCGAAAAAATTACTTTATCTTATAATGATCTTAAAAATATATGATTCTTATAAAATTATAATGGTTAAAGAGACTTATTGTGACGTATGCCTTATTTTAATATTATATTAATATTATTGTGCAAGAAAACTTCGTAACGAAGTTTTCCTCATGCACAGATAAAATTTTTCTTATATATGAATACTGAAGCGGGGGAGGAGGGGAATCAAAATTTTCCTCTCATCCTTCTTCTTCTATTGTCTAAATTTCAAGCAACGAGACTCTACTCGTGCAGGATCTGGTGAAACGAGAGAAAACTTGAATTAAGTGGGAAAGCTTCGGTAGAAATACCATACCAGGTAAGGGAAGTTTAATTCATTCAATATATGAAATTGAATTGCTGGGTACTCTGTGAATAAGGGATAGGAGTAGAGATATGAAGTATTGGAATGTCTAATGTTGAAGAATGTCTAGTTTTGAAGAATTTCTGATTTTGATGAACAGTTAATCGTTCGAAAGTTTTTTTTTGAAATTATTGAAATTAAGAATGAATTATATATTAAAATTGTTGTTTTTAACTTAAATTAGATATAATTCATGTTTAATTTCGATTTGGAACTAATTTGGGTGATTGAAACTGAGAAATTTGAAATCTGGATTTTGAAAATGGCGGATTGGAAAATCTGCAAAACTCGCTCAAGCGAAAAACACGTCGCTTGAGCGAGGACACTGGAAAATTTGGGATTCTCGGGTTCTTTCTCGCTCAAGCGACAACTACATTGCTTGAGTGACGAAGGGTTATGTCTCGCTCAAGCGACCGCTGTACTCGCTTGAGCGACGAAGACTTCAAATAAAGGTGACCCTCGGGTCAATTATCGCTCAAGCGACCGGTGTACTCGCTCGAGCGACGAAGTCTTCAAACAAAGGTGACCCTCGGGTCATGTCTCGCTTAAGCGGCCGGTGTACTCGCTTGAGCGACGAAGCCTTCAAACAAAGGGGACTCTAGGGTCATGTCTCGCTCAAGCGACCGGTGTACTCGCTTGAGCGACGAAGCCTTCAAACAACGGGGATTCTCGGGTTCCATCTCGCTCAAGCGACCGGTGTACTCGCTTGAGCGAGAGAAGGAAGAAGAAAGGGATATGGTGGAGATTTTTTTAAAAGATTAAGGGCAAAATAGTAATTTAATGATTTTGAAAGTGATTTCGAAAATAGTTTCAGAAATAGTTTCGGAAATGATTTCGGAAATGATTTTTAGGAAAATATATATATAAAGAGAGAGAAAGAATGAAAGTAGAGTGTTGTGACGTGTGTGAGTCAGACTGAGCCTGAGGGCTGATGCCCAGAATCAGTCCTGAGAAGTTATATATTGGCTAGACTGAGCCAGAAGGTTGATGCCAGAATCAGTCAAATACTATTTTTATTGACCCAAATGAGCCGTGAGGACAGGTGGTCCAGAATCCGGCAAATGTGAATAAATTTTGTATGTTTGAATGGTACCCGGGGTGGTACATAGTACATTAGTGTAATAACTATGTCAGAGGATTCTGAATGAGGTCTCAGACTTCACTGATTGGTCGGGTCAGGTAGACTACGAGATCAGGTGGTGAGAAGTCGATGGGGGATGACTGGTGGCGCGCTCGGAGGGGTACTCTAGTATGAGTGATGAAGGGCGCCAGTAATCCTACTCTGTGTGGAGGGTGGTCAGAATGGTACTACGGGTACCGATCACAATGTGCCCACAGATGATAGCCTCTGAGTTCGAGCATAGTTAGGGTATACTTCCGGAAGGTGTCTTAGTGTGTTGATAATTTCGTAATTGATCATAATATATAATTATTACTTCTATATTTGTTTTATTATATCGAATGATTTAATAATTACCTCTATTTTTCCATGTAGATGGGACTGCGATGATCACTTTTATGTGGGAGCAGATCAGGAGTTGAGAGATGGTGATGTGACTACTGGACAATAGGGATAGTTCAGTGGGATAGCTTCGAGGGAACTACTTTTACATGTATAATATATAAATAAATTATGTTACTATATTTTGAAGTTCTGTTAGTGAACTGGAATTTCAATATATGTTGCAATTACAGTAATATAATGTAAAATAGATGTTGTTATTTACTTGTTTACTACTTTGCGAAGACATCATTATAGTAGCGATTTCTAGGGTCGTTACACTTATCTTGATTTATGATAGAGTCTAATTAAAATATTTTTATCATTCTTTTTTTTTATTTATCTTTTGTTATCTTTTAGTTATTCGAGAAAAAAGTATTATGTCAAAGATAATCCTAGATGTTTTTATTAACTAACTTCCATCAAATTGATTGTAGTTTATTTTTAAAATATAACATCTCATAGTAACTAATAGGTCATTTTATTTTATTAAACCACATTGACAACCTATAATTATATTTCACATGAGTCACATAAATGAATTATTTTATTTATTAATTTTAATATTTTTTCACTTGACTTATTTAATGCTATAACTCTTCATTATTTAACAAATACATAAATCACAATGAGATCTTACATAAATTTGTTTCATCACTAATCATAATTAAAGATACAAAAATAACAAAAATTAAATGTCATTCAATCAACATATTCCCTTCCATTTAATACTATATTATCTTTTCTCTTTAATATGATTTTATAATAAAAAATTCATAATGGGTTCAAACATAATGTTATTTTCAATAATAATAACATAAATTGTTTTCTTCATCATCCATAATTTGCACACATAAATATACAATACAAAATATAAATTTCAGAAAATAATAAATTAATGAGCTCAGAGTGTTAAATAAACAATAATAATAACATTAACATTCACCATTACATATTATGCTCATATTCTTTAATGACAACAAACACTTTTGGAGGTAACCCTTTTGTTAAAGGTTTAATAATCATAAGATCAATATTAAAGATGACAAAACAAGACCGTCCATCTTGTTTTAGCTTGACTTGCCTCTAGCCTGCAAAAAACAGGATGAAGTGGGTTAACCCACCATAGTCAAGATGAGTTACGGACCTTAACTCATCTTACCAAAGGGCAGATTGACAAGAGTAGTCCGTCAATAATTTTTTAAAATATATCTTTAATTATATAAATCATTTTTAACTTTGTATTTATTAATTAGTATTTTTATTAGATAAATTGAAAAATTTATTATACTTATGGGTTAAAATAACTAATTATAATTTATAATTTAAGTTTAATTGATTAATTTTTATAATTTAAATTTTAATATTATAATATATTTACATATTTTAATAATATAATGAAAAAAATATTATTTTTAATTATAACATTTTTTTAAATTTTAATATATAAATATATTTTTAAATCGAACTAGTTTGTCTTGCCCTTGGCCTACCAAATTAGTGGGCTAGGAGGGGCGAGCCAAAATGGGTTGGCGGACTAAAATCACTAATCCGTCCCGTCCTGCCGTTCCTCACCATTCTTTAAATGGTTTGGTGGTCCGACTTGTTAGGCCTAACTCGTTTTGTCATCCTTA